AACAGGAGCAAAGACAGCAATAAAAACCCGACAAGTGTTCCAATTCCTCTCCACTCGATCCAAAACTAAGCAAAAATTAAAAAAATGCTGCCTTTAGTTATACTTTAAGGCAGTGAACTAACTAGTGATTGCATTGGATCCAAATATATGTGCAGCTATAGGAGGATAATGGGTTTCATTTTAGCTCAAGTGTCTCTCCAGGCCATAAAGATAATGTGATGCAAGTCACTTACGTTTACAAAAAAGTTCCGCACATTCTCAATTTTTTTTCCTCATTGCTCTTTGGCCATGTTCTCTATTTGTTTTTATAATTATGGGATGGTGTCAATGCATATCCTCTAGTTAGTTTTTGTCAATTCACTGTCTTTGGAATCAGCATTGATGGTTTTTTAAACAATTTTTTACTAGCCCACAAAAAAATATACACATCTATGCTTGGGTTAGTGTAATTTCTTCAAAAGCATAAATACACAAAGACAGGATAACATTTCCTTTATTAAATATTTATACTTCTTATATTAAAAACATAATTGAGTACTAGATCATGCTGCCGATATTAGCAGCATTTTTTTGAAAAATGTATTTTAATAACAGAGACAAACCCACAATCTGGTTTCAATTTGCCAAATTCAGTGAAGGAAACATCTTATCAATCAGCAATCACTGAAGTAGTACTAAAGGAGACACTTTTTTTGTTACCCTAATGCATACTAGGAAGGCTGTAACACCATCTCCTGTAAACATTTTCATCCCTCTAGGTAAAAATATAATTACAATTTTGGTTTTTCGCTGCTGCTGGCTCCAGGTAACAAAGCACTGCATCCCCTAAGGTCTGCGTAGGAGAATGCACATGCTGATTACATCACTGCAAGCCTATACTAGGGATAGCACAGCTTTGAGTTGTGCTGCTAAGAACTCACTTAGGGTAAGGAGGAGCAGAGGAATAGCTATACTAACTAAAGACACAGGCAGAAGACCAAGGAGACACACATAGTGCCACATTGAACAGTATTTGCAGTGGGAACCCTGGAAGGGTGAAGGAGGCACCTGACAACCTAAACCAGATGAGAGGTAATTTTCTAATAAGAGGAGAAAAGAAACCATAGTGCTGGAAAGAAATGCACATAGCAATGATGGTAAGTGTTGAGGAAAAATAAACAAAGCCCCCCCCCCCCCTTTTTTTCTTAATTTTCTTTCACCCTCTCTGCTGCCCCTTTCTCCATTTTTTTTTTTCTTTGGTTTGCTTTTTTTTCTTCTTTACAGACATTTTGCTGCCAGACAGTTCATTTGCCTTTATCAAGTACACACTGTTGATATTTCTGCAAGGCGATGCTGGATGATGACATTAGGCTCCTTTGGAGTGTTTAAAGCGATACTGAAGATTCATTTTTTTTAAATAACAAACATGTTATTCTTACTTGCTGTGTGCAGTGGTTTTGCACAGAGCAGCCTGGATCCACCTCTTCTCAGGTTCACTCCCAGTGCTCCTGGCTCCTCCTTTCTGTCAGGTGCCCCCCTAGCAAGCAGCTTGCTATGGGGGCACCCGAGTAGGCGTGTTCCCAATCCCCTGCTCCGTGTGTCCATTCACACACAGAGCTGTGGCTTGGCCCTGCCCCTCTCTCTCTTCATTGGCTGACTGGCTGTGATTGACAGCAGTGCCAGTGGATAGTGCTTGCTGTCTCAGCCAATGAGGTGGCAGAGGCCTGGGACAGCAGAAGTTGTCATTCACATTGCTGGATCACGATGGGGCTCAGGTAAGTATTGAGGGGGCTGGGGGCACTGCTGCACACAGAAGGTATTTACCTTCATGCATACAATGCATGAAGGTAAAAAATCTTGAGCCTTTACAACCACTTCAATTTTGACTTTTGGAACTGTCTTTTGTGATACCGTAGTTACTTCAGTTACAAAGGCACCAGCTAAGCAGGCATCAACAATTTGCCCTCTTTGAATTTCAGTAAGCTCTTATATGACTCTGTATTACTAGCAGTGCATGCATTGAATGATAAAAATGAGGTTTCCCACCTGTTTGCTAGGTGTCTCATCACACAGTGGAAGTAAAAGAATGTTACATCATTTCCACTTTCCACATGAACCATGTCGTCACTTTCACACCTCCAAATCATGTAATGTTTCCATTCTTTTTGTCTAACAACCGTATAACTCCCAGATAACATATGGAACGATTGTATACCATCCCGGGCTTCTTGATTTTTGGCTATATTACCTTGTATTTTGAAGGTGTTTTTGTTATTGTCACTCTCTTACTTAACTTGTTCCCACCAGTGACAGTGGTCATGAGACTGAAATGCCCCTCCGGGCGTCAGAAACCTCTTAAATGGCCGGGAGGTAGAAGCTGGCATTTAGGTCATGCGTGTGACTGGCTGCCACAGCGTTCACATGATTGGAAACCTCCCAATCACAAGTAGCAATCAGAAGCCTTCTGTTACCTGCTAGTAACTGTGTCAGAAGTGTGCAGGGCGTATGCTCTCAGTGCAGCATTGTCTACATTTTGGTACACATATGCTGTATGCCCCTCAGCGTCAAGGCCCACCCACTGAGAGGCTGCATATATGCGTACTACTGGTGGGAAAAGGTTAAATAAATATTTTTACAGAAAAAAAGTGTAAATGCCCCAGTCCATACCACCTAGTGTGGATCCTGGCTGCTCTTTTTCCCCTGCAACCGGCATCTATCACAGTTTTTGTCAACACCAGGTAATCCATGGTGGCATCCTCAGATGTGCATATTTCCCATTGGGACCATGTGGAGGGCAGTGTGTCCATTTCCTCCACTCAGGTTTCAGATTAGACTCAGCTCTATGCTCTGTGTTGTACAGTGTTTGAAGTCCAATCCCCACCACCTGCCTCCTAGAAGCTCAGAAATATCTGATTGGTGTACTTTAGAGGGCTCTGGAGGAGAGGGTTCTTCAGAAAAACAGGTATAGCTTCTGTGGAAGGTTATGTGGAAGCCTCCCACTGAGCCTTTGTTTTCTGACAGCAGGGAGCTATAGCTGGTGGTGCACAAGCTAATCGATAGATTGACTTGTGCACAACCAGCCCGCCCATACATGGATCAAAATTCATCTGGTCTCTACTGAACCAGCCAAATTTCGATCCATGTATGGCCCGATGTAGGGTTTCCTATCTTGTTAAGGCTTTTTATAAGAAAACGATGATGGTTATCCTATTTGAGATACAAAACATCCAATACAGCTCTTCTGTGTATGTACCCTTTATGAAGATAATCGCATCCAATTTTCAAAACCTTCTGTGCAGGGACAAGGGGGTCTTGTGTTGCCCTTGCTTGCCAAAGATCGATGAATGTACTAGCCATATATAAATTTTTACTGCTACTAAGCACAAAGCTTATCCATGAACATTTAAAGGCTTAGTGCACCTTTGGGAAAAAAAATAATAAATGCACATATTTTTGCAGAAAAAAATGTTCTTGTATTATTTTCCTCCCAGGAACCTGCACTGTGGATTGCGGGTGCAATGTCAGGCTCCTGTAGACACATCCCTTGGCTTTTCTGTCCATACTTCTGTACTGGCATTCTGTTAGAAAGCTGAAGGAATTGTCAATGAACTCTGAGGGCACTCATCAGTGCCTTCATAGTTCATTGAGAACTGCAAGCTGTCTGCTGCAGTGACAGATGGGACTTGTGACTTTCATAGATTGCTGTACATGAATGACACAGCTGTGCAAGCGGAGCCACAGGGTGTAGTTGGTAAGATGCACAATACCCCACGTTTAATATATTTTGAAAGTCAGGCTTGAAAAAACTAATATTGATGTAAATTATGAGGTTGGAGCCCATAAATGTAGTCTCAGAAGCAGGGGTGGACTGACAACTCATGGGGCCCCCTGGCAATAGGGGATCATGGGGCCCCTGTTTCCTTGCCCAACCTCAAAAAAGCCTATGAAAAAGGTACCAGGGGCATCTCATGGGGCCCCCTACTGACCCCAGGCCCTCAGGCAGTGCCCGAGTTTCCAAATGGTCAATCCGCCCCTGCTCAGAAGGTGCTTTGATGAAATAGGTTTTGTTACCACATAACATGTATAGTCCTAGCCCATGTTTGTCCCCATATTTTGAAGCACTTTGTGCTTCATTGTGGAGACATTGTGCATTTAATAATATAATGATGTATCCATTTGCATTACTGATGTATTATTATACTTTTTCCAGAAGAAGCAGGTGTTGACCTGTGAAACACGTTGAATATGAAGACCTCACTTTTTCTACCTTGCTTATATGCTTTTGGGGGTTTGATTACGGACAATGCATACTAGAATACATATTTATTATCATTGATGTATTTTAATATTTGTATAATACAATTTATATCTTACATAACATTTGTTAGAGGCAGTAACTGAAAAGTCCCATGTAGTTTTTCTTGTTAGGGATATTGTGGTTTGCCTCATTCACTGCAACCTGTATATGAAGAAACTACAAGTCCCATCTTCCACTGCGGCAAACGTTTGTAGTTCTTAATCAACTATGAGGACACCAATGAGCTCCCTCATAGTTTGTTGACACTTCCTCCAGCTTTTAAACGGAACGACTGTACAGAGGTATAGGCAAGACAGCTGGAGGATGTGTCTTCAGGAGCCTGACATTGCACCTTTGATCCACTGATTGTGGGTGCAATGTTGTCAAAGCTCCTGGGAGAAAAAAATAAATAAATGTACACATTGTTCTGCAAAAATATATGCATTCATTATTTTTTCCCCATAGATGAACTTAGCCTTCTATACTGAACCCCAATGATAACAATATACAGCTAAACCTGTTGGTGCCACCCAGGGGCGGACTGACAATTCATGGGGCCCCCAGGCAATAGGGGATCATGGGACCCCTGTGTCCTTGCCCAAACTCAAAAAAGCCTATGAAAAAGGTACCAGGGGCACCTCATGGGGCCCCCTACTGACCCCGGGCCCTCGGGCAGTGCCCGAGTTTCCAAATGGTCAGTCCGCCCCTGGAGCCACCTACTGGTAGTGTTCACCACAGTATACTATATCTATGTTCTTTCACATTTAAAATGCAAGAAAATGTTTGAAATACAAAAAGAAAATATAGCATAATTCGTAAACACAGCCATAGCTCATATTTATACATCAAACCCTGAGTTGGGTGCACCACTCAGTCAGAGCTTGAGATTCGCATACTTCTGTTTTTTTGGTGATTCTGCATTTGTTCTTGTTTCAAAGAGGCGGTTACATTCTCCCTTCAAGGGTTAACTTCTTGTTTAGCCTAGGGGATAGTAATTAAGCTGTAATATTTATTTTAATCATTGCTCCCCTGGCAGCTGGTGCTCTCCTACTCCTCAAAGTTGTGGGCAAGCTCTTGACATCCCCTTTTACAATGCAACACTGCTGCTCCTGCATTGTATGTGGTAATAACAGAAATCCTGCAAAATGTGGAATGGTGAAGGTAGGCGACTTCAGGGGACCAGTCGCATGGCATTGTGCAATCTGTTGGGAGCGAGGGATAAAGCAAATGTTACAAGTTATTCCTCAGCCCCCTAGACCTAATGAGAATTTACCCTTGCAGCGCAGAAAGACCCCACAACAAGGGTAATTTTTTTCCTGCTGTCCAGTTGAGGCTTTAGGGGCCCTTTCACACTTACACATTTTACTTGCCTTAAACACATGTGCAGAGGTTTGCCATTGTATTTAATGGTTCAAATTTATGCAGGTCATGTCTGTTTTTTTATTAGCCAACGTGCATTATAAGAACTTTGGATAGGAATAGCAATGCATGTCAATTTGTCAAGAATCATGTCGAAAACACACCTGAAACGAGCACTGCAACACAGGCTCATATGTATAAATTCAGTCTTATAGAAACAAGTACAAGTATAATAAGTACAAGGTAGTGATGCATCAGACATGAGATGACAGTCAGCCTTACTGAATGTCTCCACTGACAAAACAGGCCAAGTTGACATCTCTATTTAAAAGCCTGCAGTCTGATTCTGGTGCTTGCGGGGTCCAGTGGCACAATCATATCCATCCACCCCTGTAAGTGGCTAGGCATCCCAAATAACTAAAGGTTCTATTTTTTAAACAGGTAGAGGCTCCATTTAGTTATGTGCAGTGTGCACATTTTTTATTTTATGTGACTTCTTTGGGATCAAATAGCTACAAAATTGAAGATAATAAACAGACTCATAAAAAAGATGTGTGTAATTTTTCAATTCTGGTATTCTGGCAGGTTGCCCAATCCTCTCCTGTAAACCTTGTTACAAAGTTTATTTTAGAAGTAAGATATTAAAAAAGTAAGATATTAAAAAAATTTACATAACTCCTCCTAAGAATCATCCCACTGATTGCATCAGGACTGAGGACCTTACTCTGCTTTGTCATTTTACCTACAGGTAACAGCTTACCTGTAGGTAAAATGAATATCCACTAAATGTGCACCATGTAGAAGATAATTACTTGTTTTGTAGCTGATGATGTCACACATACACATGCTCATACACACTGTGCTCTGAATTGAGGGCATACCAAATGTGCCATCAATCCAATGCGCTATGCCGCGACCATGACTCCCGTACGCATGTGCAGAAGTGACATCATCTTGGCTCTGCCATTTAAACAGCTGGAGCCTGCAAACCCAGAAGGAAGATGGAAGCCCTGACAGCAGTGACAACGCACCACAGGAGGGATCCATTTTAGTGGTACGTCTTACATAATGTGCTAGTATGTGATGCATGCCATTAACATGCGGGGGGGGGATTTTTTTTCCCTATTTCATGACTTACAGTAAATACCTCTTTAAAATCTGTAAGAGAAGAATTATCTGACAGATACGTTGAAATGTACAAATATCTGCTATCTGCAAAATGGTCAGAATCAAGGAGGTATCTGAGACTTGATTCACTCATATCTACTACATTATGGGATTTAGAATAATTACAATTTATCCACAGAAATCTTGCATCTTCCTTTCCTCCTCCACAGGCAAGATGTAATTTCTCCTTGTCATTGTTTGATAACATTGCACAGATCCTCAGGCTCTCTTTAACCAGACAGGATGTGAATTTTCAGATAATAATTGTCTCCACAGACTCATGCTGTCTGAGACCATTTTAGATGACCTGTTTTTTTTTTTATTCCAAAATGTAGAATAAATCAATTACATTACTAGACCAAGAAAAATACACAAATTTAAACTGAAAATGTGATTGCAGGTGACATGTGAAACCAATAAGATAATTACTAATATTATGCTATTCAGCAGATACTGCATATGTGCTTAAGTCAGAAAGTCTGCTCAGTTTACAGTACATTGTAATCTATTACATCTAGGGTTTACATTGCTCCTTTCATGTTCAGCTGGAGGGAACTTTCTGGTAAATCTGCTCAGCTGTCAGTTTGGATTTTTATTGGATATTGAATACACTTTGCTGGGTTTTTTTTTTAATTCATATACATTGAGCTATTAAATAAGACCCCCTGCTAGTTGATTCAGGGAGGCTTTGTTCTATTCTGGAATGTAGGCTCCCCGTGCCTTATTGCTGACCTTTGCTCAACGGTGTGGACAGGATCCAATAGAGATCCCATGCATGGGCTTAGAAGGAAATTTAAGAATATTACTGTATTTATTTATTACAGGTACTTATATAGCTCTGTCAACTTATGCAGCACTTTACATATATATACAGTCATGGCCGAAATTGTTGGCACCCTTGATATTTTTCCTGAAAATCAAGTATTTCACACAAAAAAGGTATTGCATTAACACATGTTTTGCTATACACATGTTTATTCCCTTTGTATGTATTGGAACAAATATAAAACAGAGGCAGAAAAGCAAATATGACATAATGTCACACAAAACCCCAAAAATGGGCTGGACAAAAGTATTGGCACCCTTAACTTAATATTTGGTTGCACACCCTTTGGAAAACATAACTGAAATCAGTCGCTTCCTATAACCATCAATAAGCTTCTGACACCTCTCACCCGGAATTTTGGACCACTCTTCCTTTGCAAACAGCTCCAGGTCTCTCTTATTGGAAGGACACCTTTTCCCAACAGCAATTTTAAGATCTCTCCACAGGTGTTCAATGGGATTTAGATCTGGGCTCATTGCTGGCCACTTCAGAACTCTCCAGCGCTTCTTTGCCATCCATTTCTGAGTGCTTTTTGACGTATGTTTGGGGTCATTGTCCTGCTGGAAGACCCAGGATCTTGGACGCAAACCCAGCTTTCTGACACTGGGCCCTACAGTGCGACCCAAAATCCTTTGGTAATCCTCAGATTTCATGATGCCTTGCACACAGTCAAGGCACCCAGTGCCAGAGGCAGCAAAACAACCCCAAAACATCATTGAACCTCCACCATATTTTACCGTAGGTACTGTGTTTTGTTCTTTGTAGGCCTCATTCCGTTTTCGGTAAACAGTAGAATGATGTGCTTTACCGAAAAGCTCTATCTTGGTCTCATCTGTCCACAAGACGTTTTCCCAGAAGGCTTTTGGCTTACTCAAGTACATTTTGGCAAACTGTAGTCTTGCTTTTTTATGTCTCTGTGTCAGCAGTGGGGTCCTCCTGGGTCTCCTGCCATAGCGTTTCATTTCATTTAAATGTCGACGGATAGTTCGCGCTGACACTGATGCTCCCTGAGCCTGCAGGACAGCTTGAATGTCTTTGGAACATGTTTGGGGCTGCTTATCCACCATCCGGACTATTCTGCGTTGCAATCTTTCATCAATTTTCCTCATCCGTCCACGACCAGGGAGATTAGCTACAGTGCCATGGGTTGCAAACTTCTTGATAATGTTGCGCACTGTGGACAAAGGCAAATCTAGTTCTCTGGAGATGGACTTGTAACCTTGAGATTGTTGATATTTTGCCACAATTTTGGTTCTCAGGTCCTCAGACAGTTCTCGTCTCCTCTTTCTGTTGTCCATGCTTAGTGTGGCACAGACAGACACACAATGCAAAGGTTAAGTGAACGTCTCTCCTTTTTATCTGCTTTCAGGTGTGATTTCTATATTGCCCACACCTGTTACTTGCCCCAGGTGAGTTTACAGGAGCATCACATGCTTGTAACATTCTTATTTATCCGCAGTTGTGAAAGGGTGCCAATACTTTTGTCCAGCCCATTTTTGGAGGTTTGTGTGACATTATGTCGAATTTGCTTTCTTTTCCTCCCTTTTTTTGTTTTGTCCCAATACACACAAAGGGAATAAACATGTGTATAGCAAAACATGTGTTAATGCAATACGTTTCGTGAGAAATACATGATTTCCTGGAGAAATATCAAGGGTGCCAACAATTTCGGCCATGACTGTATATATATACTATATATATATATATAGTACATTCACATCAATCCCTAACCCTCAAGGGGCATACAGTCTAAAGGTCCCTAACTCACATTCATACATACACATACTAGGGCCAATTTTAGACAGGATCCAATTAACCTACCAGCATGTCCTTGGAGTGTGGGAGGAAACCGGAGTACCCAGAGGAAACCCACGCAGGCACAGGGAGAACATGCAAACTCCAGGCAGGTGGTGTAGTGGTTGCGATTCAAACCAATGACGCTAGTACTGCCAGGCGGAAGTACTAACCATTTAGCCACTGGGTTGCTTTATTGGACTTTTTCATCATAGGGGTAATTAATACTGTCTTGTAATCTCCAGGGTCCTCTGACAAAAAAAATAAAATAACTTTATTGCATCTTGTAGTGCAAGTCTGCACTTCACATACATGGTTTCACCATTTGAACTAAATAAGTGTCTAAAAGCCAGAAGCTTCTTATCACTAGTAATGACGCTTTAGGGTTGATTTACTAAATGCAATTAGACTGTTCACTTTGCAAGTGAAGTTTCACCACATTCACAAAGCTCTTGAGAAATTTCCCTGGCGGATTGCAACTTTACTTGCAAAGTGAACAGTCTATTTGCCTTTAGAAAATCAACCCCTTTGCTACTTGCTACATCATGCTTTCTGTGTAGGAGACACAGGAGAGAGCC